CCCTCTTAGGAATGCACAACCCTCTTGTAAAAGTTCTCCATCCACTCTCTCCTTTCACTCTCTCCTTTCACTCTCTCCTTTCACTCTCTCCTTTCACTCTCTCCTTTCACTCTCTCCTACCTACCAGTAGCCGATACGCGGATCCAGTAGCTAGCGCACACCATGATAGTCAGAAACGCGCTCAATTCGACTGCGGAAACTGATTTCACTAACATGCGGCACCCGCCAACGGTGCACTGACCCAAGATGCTGACATCGGGGAGCACCCACCACGAAGGCGTAAAGGCGAGGCAAAGAGCCGCCAACGCCGCAAAGAAGATCACCGACACGGCGGTGCATAACGAAAAGGCACACAAGTCTCCTTTCAGTCCTAGCGAGGACGGGAACCTCGCGAAACATCGGCGCGTGTGAATGGGAATACTGTCGAAGCGTTAATCGATACCGGAGCCAATGTGGTAGTGATGAAAGAACCCTTAGCCACAAGACTGCGTCTGGAGCCAGCAGTCAGGCGCCACTATCAGGCTTCGTGATCACGACCGACGCCACCGATAAAGCCATAATAGGACCTATCCTGTAGCAAGAACAAGACGGCGAACGCGTCCCCATAGAGTTCGGAAGTCGGAAGCTACAGCCAGCAGAACGGGACACACACGAACGAGAGTTGCACACCATAAGATACTTCGTGGATAAATGACAGTTATGCGCTGAGGTCAACAGTTGCAATAGATCTCGGTTTGGTCTCGCGGCCATTCTTCAACGAGCTCTCTCGTTCGACCTAATCGGCCCGCGGGCAGGAGGAGCAGTCACCCATTGGCAGCAGTACTTCGGCGTGCCCATCGCAGTCCTCGTAGACGGCGGTAGTGAGTTCAAGAGCCAGTTCTTCCAACTAGTCATGAACGAGTGGCGAAGCAAGCTGTTCGTAACCACGCCCTACCGACCACAAGGCAACCGAGGCGAATCCAGCCACCGAGTGCTGCTTTTTTGATGTCGAAGAATATTATAGGATTATTGCCTGGAGGTCTTTGGCAGCTTCCGTAGTAGGCCACCACCCCA